GGCGGAGGGCGGCGCTGGGGTTGGAGTCGTCGGGTTGGTACTCGAGTATCGTCGGCGCTGTTGTTGTTGGCGGCAGGCGCGGCAGACGAAGGATGTGGCGGACAGCTGCTTGCGCGCTGTGAGCGTCGCGCTGCGGGTTACGGTGTTCATCGTTGCAGGTCGGGTGCCCTTTGGAGCTAGGGGTGCTTCAACACTAAGAAAGAAAATGTATGAAGGAAGGAAAGATAGAAGAAAATTAAATGATGTGTTGACTCAATCGGCGACCGAGATCGCTGTGCGGCTATTCGAACACGCCCGCGCCCAGGATGTGGAATGGGAAAATTGTTTGGTTTGTCATGACGTCCTAGCTCCGGGACGCACGGGACTCTCGGCCCGGGGATAGGCCCCATGGTACTGGACAATGTCTAATGCCAGGGACGGAGGGTCGGACGGCGTTGCTCCGAGTTTCTGCCCCACTGGCGGAAGAGAGCTGTACTTATGGTGGAGACTGGAGAGGTTCGTCTCACTCTCGACCTGAGAGGAAGGGTTCCCCTCTGTATGGCCTGTGCTTTTCGAAGCTAAAGTGCTGCCTAGAGATGACGCTTTTCTTGCAACATCCTCCTTGGACCATGATATCGTTCAAAATTTTCTATCTAAGTGGGTTTGTATTCACTGGGGACAATGTAAGAATATCCAGATGGAACTGTTTCTGAAAAGGACCGACGACGCGCTGCTGCAGGTCAGGGCGACTGATGCCGGCATTGCTCACACTCGTTGCCTGGACGCACTAACTTGATGTGGAATACGATTCGACACAGCGCGCTTAGATTAAGTCAGCGATTACAACGTTTATATCCGTCCTCGCTCGGCAATAGTCAATACAAATACATTGGTGCCTGAGTTGGATTTATTTTATCAGGGTTGAGGCACATGGAAACCATCGTGGCTTTACCAAACTTGATCAGCTAATTGGCCTGGTGGACAACGATTCTACGTCTATGTCTCTCTCGCCTACCTCCATACGACCTGGAACATTGTCTTCCATCTCCATGTCTCAAAATCACGACTGCCGGCCACCCGATATCCATGACGCAAATATCCAACAATGTCGAGCGGCGCCTTCGCGGCAGTGAGCCATGGGCGCAGCACACAGCGGGAGAGGCGTGCATTCCTCCTGGCAAGGCTGAAGGCACAGAGGCAATCGGAAGTGGGATTGTGACCCTGGTGGACTCCCAAATTTCCCTGGAATAACCAACCCCAGCAGGCACCCGCCAATGACAGCCATGTTGCCAGCGGTCCCAAGTAAGCACTAATGCTCGACGCCGCCCCGTGGCAGTGTGGGTGCCAAGGACGAGTGCGACAGACTGCCAGTGTCGCACCTATTCGCACCAAATCAGCTAATTTTTCCCGTGCCGAATACCAGACTACCGTTTGAAACCCCCATAAATCGCTGTACGGGGATGATGGATCAGCAACTTGTAGGGGGGCCGGGCCCCTGGGGTTCACCGTTCACCACTCAAAAGAGTCGAGATTGACTGGAGGATCAGGGGTATGGAAGGGCAATGATCTATCCCGTCACCTCGAGCGGATCCCCGCCCGAATCCTACGAATATCAGGTGTCTGGTCCCAATGCTACCCTCCCTTGTCTTGCAGAAAAGCATCGAGACATGTTCTTCTCGCGCTGCTTCCCGCTCGCGCCACACTTTCGTCTCTAACCATCTTTCTCTCTCTCGATTTTCGTCTGTGATCGTCACTTGGGGGATGAGTTGATCTCGCGTCTGAAGGATTTTCTCTCGTTTGTGGTACGGGTACTCACTCCTAGGGGCGGCGACCTTCATTACACGCCGTAGTCTGCGCGCATCAACCAGGTTGAGAAGCGGCGAGTCGATCGCGGGACAACACCGAGGATCATCGCGACGTTCGCATTTCACAGCGAATTCTTCGACCATACCCATCATGGTATCGCGATCATGGCTGGCGGCGTTCCTCGCCGTTGGACAGCTTTCTTCTATCTGTAGCGCGCAAGTGGATGTCCCCTCAGTCAACAACTTTCGCAGAAGAGTCTTTGCTCGAGGTAAGCTTCGGCCTTATGTGCTCTCTCAAGACACCAGGGTATCACTAACGAACACCAGCGTCGGTCATTGGCAATTGGGTCTATTACGATGGAGGTGAAGTATCACAGGTCATCAGCGGGTTGAGTCCCCAGTCACAATGGCGGCCCTCTAACCCGACAAACACGACGCTCTCAATCGACCTCACCAAATCATGGACGCCAGAGGATGTGGAAATCAAGGAAACCTCGAAGTCGGCTCCCAAAATGATGAGACAGGCCATCTTCACCGACAACTCGTCAGACTCCTTTTACATCTGGGGCGGCTTCACCTCCTACGGCGCCAAAATCCCAGACGCGAAACTCTGGCACTTCACCCCGGACGGCAGCGGCGGCGGCCAATGGGGCACCGTCCTCCCGCACGGCAACACCGCCTTCACGGCCCTCACCCGCTCTCAGGGCGGCGCCTTTGTCAGCACCAAGGATTCCGGCTTCTACTTTGGAGGGTTCTCCGATTCCGGGTCCGACCCGAACCCCAACGGCCCCGTGCCGGGCTTTTTGCAGTTCAACTACACGGCGACGGACACGGCGTGGACGAACAACTCGGACAGCGTGCCCTACTCCGACTACGGCACTCTTGTGGGCGCCACGGCGCACTACGCGCCGTACGGGCCGAACGGTTTGATTATGATTTTCGGCGGAGGATCGCACGTCATCGGGACCGGCCAGAGCGTGGATAACGTCGGCTATCTCAGCTTCAGCACGATTTACTTCATGGACCCCGTCACCAAGGTGTGGTATACCCAGCAGACAAGCGGCAACGCCCCGGGCCCACGCATGTGGCACTGCACCGTCGGAGCCCAGGGTCCCAACAACACATACGAGATGTAGGTTCTTCTTGATAACTCTGCCAGAAAAAACCTCAATCTTGAAAAGATGCTAACCCATCATCAGCTTCATGTACGGCGGCAGCAACATCGCCAACAAGGAAACTTTCGACGAGGTCTACATCCTCTCACTCCCCGGCTTCGTCTGGCAAAAGGCAAACTACACCTCTGCGGCCCCCCGCGACACGCAGTCGTGCGTCGTCGCCGGCCAGCGCCAGATGGTCACCTTTGGCGGCGTCAACAGGATGGCCAACAACGCCAACTCGACCCTCTTCTTTAACGAGGAAGATTCCTTCCGCCAGGGCGTCGGCGTCTTCGACCTCACGGCGCTGGCGTGGAAGGACGCGTACGAGCCCACGGCCGCCGCGTACGATTCTCCCGATGTCGTCAAGGCTTGGTACAATGAGGGGTGAGTTTTGATCCCATTATCCCTCCAAACAACATATTGTCTAGAGTGTAGTCCCGCTGACTTTTTGTTGCAGTAACCTCGCCAGTGTTCAGTACGGCTCGGGCGTCGAAGCACTCATGAACTACGGCAAATCCGGATCAGGCTCGAGCTCAGGTTCAGGTTCCGGTTCCGGCTCCAGCTCCAGCTCCGACTCGAAATCCTCCAACACGGGCGCCATCGCCGGCGGCGTAGTAGGCGGCGTAGCGGGCGTCGCCCTCATCGGCCTAGCCGCATTCTTCCTCATGAGGCGGCGGAAGCACAAGAAGGTCCCGACAGAAGAGACCGGTCCTAACGCGGTCGAAGCCCCGGGCTCGGCTACCTACTACGATAACAACAACAACCACAATGCCGGAATGCAGCAACACCAGCAGACGGCCTACTCGCCAGGCCCCGCCCCGTCCATGACGACGGCGCCGTCGGAGCTCCAAGGGGAGTACAGGGACCACTCGCCGTTTTCGGGCAGCGACGTGCCGCCCAAGATGATGCAGCCTCCCGAGATGGATGCCGGGGAGCCGCGGCACTATTACGCGGCGGAGCTGGACGGGACGGAGGCGCGGAAGTGAGGTTAGTTAGCACTGAGGGCTGGCTGACTGAATGTTTTGGGTATCCTTTGAGGGGAGGAAAGGTACCTGGACTGGAAGAAATATAATTCATGATAAGATGTGGAAAAGTTCAAGGCCGAAGTAATGTTTCTAGGAAAAATATAGACTGTATAGTATACACTGTCGATAATACCCTGCCTGAGAGAAGGCACATGATGAGACTTGCGTTTTCTAGAATACATGTAGCTTACTTGCCCTCGGCCCATGAAAACAATGAACTTGAATATGACAACCATCACTCCCGGTGTCCAGCTAGGCATCAAGGGCATGGGGAGAGTAAATCAGTCCGCTTGAGGCACCTTCAGGACGCCCGATTAGCTCTACGGCGCAGTTACCTGAATCCTTCGTTCAGTCTATATGCCATCATCGTACTTGGAAGACTACAGGCTGAGTGGTTCCCACAAAGCCTCTGTTGCGTTTCTCCATGTCTCTTCAGCAATCCTAGACTGCAAGGGGTAAGGAGCATCTACTCTGCCCTCTTCTGATAGTGGCCCCCCTTCCAGTCGATGGTGCCGCCTTTGAACTCGCCCTCGTGGCGTATCGTCGTGGATGCCACAGTGAGCGTGGTCGACTGCCTTTGGGAACCACTCAACATAGCCAAGCAGCATCTATCTTCCTTGTTCTCTAGAGCTTACCTGAAGATTTAGGGTGTTACGATGTTATCACGACCCTCAGCTAGGTATTGTAATGCACCGTGAGGGGTGAAGCGCTAACAGAGGCCAGACCCTGGTGAAGACACTACAACTAAATCACTCTGCAGGCTATCGGGAAACCTAAGTGACAGGTTTATTCGTTTGCCGAGTGACTTTCGTTTCCCTCGGCAGTTGGCATGTGTGATCTGCAATCGCATGACCGATTTACAGAGGTTGTGATGGTGGCCTTCTTCACTCGTGGTAGTCATGACCAACGAGATGATGACGTGCCTATTAGATTTACATAGAGATCGGTCGAGCATACTATTCATGACTCAACCATTGGTAATGTTTACATGGGGAACACTTTGAGATACCGCCTCCAGCCGAGAAGAATTCAGCATGGCTTTTTCTCTCTTCGTCCAGCTGGGCGCAACGTGTAAGTTGAGTTCCCACATAGGGAGACGTGGCGTCGGGGAAATGCCAGCTACAAGGTGCTGTGAGACAGACACCATAGCTCGCGCGTATTTGTCGGACTGGGCTGTCGAGATGTTCCTAGTCTATGATTGGAGCATAAGCTGAATGGTCATATGATTCGATTAAGCTTAACATGTGAGATGGCTGATGTATCGCATCTCTCAGTGATGAGAGTATCGGAGTCAGGCATTCGTCCTCGTCTATCCCGAAAGTGTAGTATCAGCTGGAGCTGCAAGTCACTATCTAAGGAGCTCCCGATCCCAGATATCTTACCTCACTGAATCCAAACACCATCAGCAGTGAGGGCCAGTCCCAATATGACTGGAGCAAGGTACTGCTGAATGATGAGCTCACACGGACCGACGCAACATACAGGAACGGCCAGACCTCTAAGGTCGGGGCCCGATAGGCTAACACTACACCCATACCAACTATTCTCGATAAATTCCTGACCACAACTGACAAAGTCACAACAGCGGCGGCCAAGTCTAGCCATCACTACTCTTCAGCGCCCCCGTATCCTAGCCAGCTGTGCGCCTTGAAGTGGACCACCTCTGGCCCCCCTTCGACGCAGGAGAAGTCCGTCACGAGCATCACGATGTATAAACTAGAACCTTGGGCCCTCGGATACAGCAGGTTCCGATCCGTGTGTTTGAAGGCGTATAGCTTCTGCTTTACTAACACGGTGACGGATCGGTTTGGGACCGATGTGGAGGTTGCCAACGGTGGTACGCATCTTAATCAACCTCTCGTATCCAACGTGACTACTACTTTGGACTTGAATGAGGGTACGACTTTGATTCAGGGCAAAATGCTAATCTTCAAATAGAAACTAGTAACTATTCAGGGAAGGGGATATAAGGGAAAGGATATATTGAATATACTAGAAACTTTACAACGGCATATAGGCTCCGGTTTAGGAAGTGCGATAGTTGAGGCTCTCTTCTCCGCCGGTTTCATGCTCGCAGACAAGCAGGCTATAAGAACCGATTGTCGTACAACCGGACCCAAGTTATCTACTCCTAATGAAGTCATTGGCCTGGCTGGTGGTAAGGACTAAGGGGATACATGGGAGACTAATCATCGCCCTGATGACAGATAATTCAATTACAAAAAGGAAAAGCAAGGAAGGAGAGGCAATGTTGACCTCACAATTCGGGCCCCTGCCCGGAATCGAACAGGGCGAACCTCAGTTAACCCGTACTCTGATTTCGTTGGAGTATCAGGTTATTCCACCATTTCACTACCTCGCACGCAGTTTTGATCTGACCCGCCAACCGTAAACGGGCGCCCCTGAGCTGGTGATAGGAAACGACGCTGAGGGGGTATAAGTAAGGTTTAGCGAAGGTGAATGGTTCACCCGCGGGTGGGAGGAGCTAGAAGGCTTACAAAGACACAGAGGTGAGAAGGAGCGAGGCTGGTGCCGGTGGCTGAAGCTGTAGTTGAACACTATCAACTGCCACGACAGGCTTGACGATCTCTCACCAGCGAAACATAGTCTCGGCCAAAGACCACTCGGCCGAGTAAACGGGATGACGGAAACCCTTCTTGAAAAGGACCCTGACGACCCTGTCGAGACGGGTCCCGGAGCCTTGGATCCTAAAGCTCATCGGGCGAAAGAAGTTACGTCAAGTCTCTTCGCCGTTCATCGAGGAAGCAACTCGGCGATCCGTGGTCCCGATCCCAACGTCCTCCCCGTAGGGATACACCACGCACCAAACTGGTACACACCACCTCGCCGATCACCCTTTCGCCTCACCACCGCAAATCATGACAGCATCACTCCCGCCCCGGCGCCGGAAGGGATGGGAAAACAACCACCTTTGATGCCGGACAACCGCGTCCCAAAACGTGGAATGAATCTAGCCCGCCGTCCGATCCACCTCCCGTTGGAATCATCTCTCGTCAAACCCAAGTAAGAGGATCAACGCCTCTAAAGCTCTAATGACTTCATCACTTTTAGGGGTCCAAAAAACGGGACCCGCGGGAAGGGGCGCTCATCTTGGTGGTGAACGTCTAAAATATGGGTCCATGGGGTGTCCCGGACTTTGGCTTCTCCCCGAAGAGCCGGGTTCCTTGTGCCGCTCTCAAACCCGCGGGTTTTACACTTTACGGTATCCGTAATGCTTCTGCTTTCTCTGCCTCAAACCCAAGCCTACCAGGTAATTAGAACGAAGCTAGGGTGAGCTGAGGTAAGCGGATGGTAGGGCGGAAAACTGATGGCCTTGGGATGGAGCTTGTCTGGCGGATCACCCTCTGGGTGTACTACGTAGGTTTGTCTCTTCTGTGCGGTCGTCGGGGTTGCACAGGTCTGCGAACTCCGCTCCGCGCCGAGAGTTCCCCTCTATGAGCCCGCGCTTTGTCTATTGCGCACCCCACGCGGGGTTAAGAGCGAGTGCGACAACGCGGCGCACGCCTTTACTGCACGAACCTGTAGTGGTCTTTGTGATGTTCGGAGTATGAATGCAGAGTACGGATACGCTGTATCTGGATAGAGGTGGTAAGATGGTGAGGTTTACAGCCATAGGTAGAGTGTGAGCTACGCCATCATGGGATGCAAGTCAGGTCGTCAAAAGGCACGGTCACGTTCATCCAGTCAGGCGGTATCTGTAACCGCGTCCCGGTACCACCCATCCATCCATCAACTCGTCTCATCGGACACACCAGTCTCTGCTTGAGACGACCAACCTTGACTCTGGAACTCATCAGATGACTGGTGTACGGGTACGCACTTGACTTTCTTCCAGGGCAGACCGTTTCGTTTCCGAGAGAGACATGCAGACGCAAACCAATGTCAGGAACCCGGGTTCACGGGCCAACTCTTGTTTCCTCCCGACGGAGAGAGACAGTGTGCTCATTGCGTGAACCGCTGGCCTGGGTAGCCGAAAGGTAAACGTGTCTCGTGATCCGGACGGCCTTGACGGTTGTGGAGATGGCCGCCCTTCGGTGCCGAGGGCGGAAGTGGGATTGATCTCAAGAGATTCCTCGGGTGAAGTGGGCACCTGGAGCATGGCGCAGCGAGCCACGCACTACTGTTTTGCTTCAGAATGCGACATCTCCCCCGTTTGAAGATACATATTTCTAGGGACATGACCGATGAAGCTCTTGTGGCCCCTCAGACCGTAGACTCTCTTGGGCTCAAGCGATTCTGATTCAGATGATAGTCTAACAGTCTAGCTGTCAATAACGGACAGATGATGCTTGGCAGCCCGGAAAGGTAGTCGCACGAACTGACAAATCCGCCCCAGTGAACTCGGCCGCGACCAACAAACACAAATCCAGCACGTTCTGCGGATCTTCGCAACAGACAGGTGCGGCCCGCTGCTTGCATTTCCTCACGTTTCGAAAGGCAGAGAGGGGGGAGGGGGGTGGGTGTATGCATGTCAAATTCTGTCTCTGATTTCCAAGCCAACAGTCCTTTTTTGCTCGAACCAGTCATCGGACGCTCGGACAAAGTGTGGGAGAATCCTTGGCAGCCGTGGCAGGAACGGAGTTAGTACATACAAGTAGTGCTGGGCACCTGGATGACTGATGAATAATTCGGCTTCGGCTTACGATATCAGCCCCCACGGCTTTGCACAGTTTGAGGCCCATTTGCTATATGCTAAAACCACACCCCTTTATGCACAAAGCGGATAAGGTAGGAAAGACCCATACTTCTCGGCCCCCGGGCTCCAGCCGTCCAAGGGGAGAGATGGACCCCCGCCAGGTTCTGGACTTAGGGATTACAAAGTGAGATTAACTCCAATGCCAAGCAATCACCCATCTGCACCTGGCACTGGCAGAGCGGCGGTGGGGATAGGTAAGCGGAGGGAGAAGAAAGATGCGGCGGCGCAGGCAGCACGAATCCAATCCAATACAAGGCCACCATCGCGAAATTTCAGGGCCGGCCACGGTGAGTGACTCAAAAACTCCGAGTGGTGTGGGGAGCGGACAGCCTCGCTTCCCTTGACCACATTGGAATTTCCCATCTTTCATCGAGGAGCATCGACGACTCATCAGTCAATAGTCACGATCGAATGCTCACGATCTCCTTGCACAAATTTCTCATTCTGACCCCTTGCCTTGAGGGAAGAACAACTCCACCATTCTGCGTAAAGATGCCCCGCCGTGCCGAAGGACTCGCAGTCACAGGCTCTGGGCTGGCTGCACTCCCCTTCCCCCTTCCGCACCGCCGCCCGCCCGAAATCATCCATCCACCGCACCCCGGCGGAGACGGGGGTGGGATATGTCGTGGAGCGGCGGTATGTTAGAGAACGATGGATCCTCGCGGTGCGGGCACAGATGCGGGCGAACACCTCGTCCAGTCGTCCAACTTTCAAGCGAGCACTCACTGGCAATCTTTACTGCGTACTCTTGCGAAGAGAGTCGAGACCTTTTCCCATTATCCACAGAACGAGTTGATCTTGGAAATTCTGGACCTTGGATTTTCCTACGTTCCCACTGCACAGCGTAATTCAGCGGATCCAAATTGTCACTACCTTAGATCCCCCTTATCAAGCAGATCATGAACCCTAGAAAAAGGCACAACCCGCAAGTCCGCGACCAAGAGCCGTGGAGTTTGCGGATACATGGAGTATCCGTAGGAATGATATGATTACGTGCGCGCGTGAAGATCTTGCCCAGCCTTCGGACGCCGTGGCCGTAGTACCTTCCATCCGCACACACACAATCCAATCTTCCTCTTATCTGATCTAGCTTATCGATAAGACCAGGTGATTCCCAAGCATGGAAGATCAGATCGCCCTTCTCAAAATTCGCCATCGTGACCTCAGCATTCCCCACGTGCGGGCCGCACCCCTCATGTTCCAGAGTATCGACGTGATTGAAATCGATAATCACAGGTCGTCATCACGCGATCCATCCGTACACTGCGGAGTAGACAGACGCGATTGCGTGCGCGAGGCGAGACAGAAGGACACTCGATCTACGGATATGCCATTGTGCACAATTGACACTTTGTCGAGGGTAAACTCCCTTCCCTGCTCTCCACCCTCGCCTACAGCCTCAAATGATCGACGGGGGGAGACGCAAGCAGGACAAGCAAGGCAGATAGGGTCCAGGACTCCAGATTGCAGCCCTTCATTCTGAGTCTGGCCCCCTCCTCGCGCCCTGAACCGAAAAAACCCCACGCCCGCAGGACTTTCAGGCCCCAGTGATTGATATCAATCCTCGTCGAATGAAGCCCTGCTCGCCAGCGTGTCTTTGTCTCATTCTCTACTGGGGGTTGATGAGATGAGGTGTCAAACTTGTCAATCGCTCATTCAACCTGTACGCACCTTGTCCAGGTAGGTACTCAGGCACCGCTTTGACATTCTTCCCTTCGCCTTGCTCTCCAAGAAATAAGGAAAGAGGTAAACCCCCAGTCCATCCAGTCACGAACCTCGAGAGCCCAGCAAAGAGGTTGGGGCCAATTTCCCATAATGCTTGTAAAACCTGTCTAGGGCCCGTCGCCCCAAAATCCGTCCAGGAACCCGAACCCTTTCAAGGCTTCACCGCCCTGCCTTACCTTTGGGTTTGTGGTTTTTTTTTTCACTTTCCCATGCTGCCTACCGTGTTGAGGCCCCCTCCCTTTCTCTCACCCGCAGGTAGGGTAGACTAGGTAAAGTCAACCCCCCGCGGGGTTGATAAAGGAACAGCATATTACTTCGTGCTTCGTACCCGAACGGGAGGCGGTCAAGTAAATACACCATCGTGGGACTCCCGCACCGCCGCCAAGTGCGACGGACGGGTGGGTGTTTGTCAGACCTAGACATCTAGGCCGGTACGCTACTTTCACATGGTGCAATTCGATTATTTTTCCATCCATTCCACTCCATACACCGAGAAAACACGGAATCTTGCCGAGACTTTTGGTATTGACTCGAGTCGGGGCACCTACAATCTAGATAGTCCTGTAAAATCTGCAATCCAACTCACAGGTGCATATCCGCTGGCGTCGTTTGTCGCGATATCCGTACCACCCCCTCACGAAACCCAACCTAACCCGCGGGATTCAAACGTCCTCGATCGGGAAGAACAACGCGAGTGAAACAGAAACAAGCGTGTCCGCTGTCTCGTCGCACTCGAGTTCTACGTTATCCGTACCTACTTCGCCTTACCTTTACTCCCACGCACTTCCGAATTAGGCTTTCCACAGCCGAGACTGGCGATCAAAAAAAATGGATTCGACTGCACGCGTAGTGACTGACTGCATGCCGATGTGCCTGCCGTTAGCTACCTACCTGACTCCCGCCGACGCTGCCGGTTCGGCCAAAGCTTCCGACGGGCGGGCGGGAAAAAAACTGGATCGGCAGAGTGCACCACCTACCACCCAACACCACCAACACTACCGTTAAGCCGTCCCGTCGGCGTGCGTGTCTCTCACGAGTCACACCTTCTTCCTTATCGCCGGCCGTGTCGGCTCAATCGTGAACCTGCCGATCCGCGTGCCAGCGAAGTCGGACGCTGGAGGCCTGATGGTGGTTGCCGGCGTATGTCTGGAGACCGGATGGATAGACCGGATGAATCATTTCAAACGGCGGCAGGCAAAAGACACACACCCCTCTTCGTGGTCTCGTCGCTTCCAGTTTCCAGTCCTATTATTTCCTGCATAGTACCGTGTTGAGATTCGAACATTTGGTTCTGGAGGATACTTGGCGCATCTGCATCGTGGAAATGGCAAAGGGGATGGATGCCCAGCAAACAGGCCGGTCGCCGACGAAGCCGTAACAGTACGGTGGTCAAGGACCCCCCGGGCGACCCTCATCAAAGACTTTCACAAGCCAAGCCCAATTGTGGTGCCATTTCCATCTTGCCTTTTGATCTGCCAATCTTAAAAAATCTGGCAGCTCAGATCTCCCGTCGGGTCTTTCGGTGCTGCTCGCGGTGCCTTATGTCAGCGTGGGATGACGGTGGCCTCGGCCTCGAAAAAGGGACGCGCTCGGGCCCCTATGCGCACCACGTATCTCCACGTTCGGGCCCCGAGGGAACAGTTCTGTCGCCCGTCCAGCGGATTTCTGGCAGGGCAATTGCGGGAGGTTGTCTTCTCCGTCGGTTCCTCTGGGGGGGGGGGAGGCCCTGGGGCTTATCTCCTTTGGGTTCGCCGTCTCCAGTCGGACGGGATTCGTCCGTCCGCACGCTCACGCCCTGTGCTGATGACAGTCTTCCATTTTTTTTGGCCTCGGTGACTCGCATTCGCTGTCGCGGCCGCGTTGCACACCCCTCCCCCCAGCATACCGTAATTGTGTACGCGGGATGCCACACCTTACACGCCTTTTTTTTTTTCGCAGGCTGGTGGCTGATGTCGGCTTCGTATCGTCGTAATCGTTTTTTTGGCGTCGTCTTCCATTTTTTTCTGCCTCTTGGATTTTCCCAAAGTCCCAGCTGCGCCATGCTTGCCTCGCAATCGTTTTTCTTTTCGGTTCCAATTGAATATCCATCAGACCAGTCCCAATCAGATTATCGTCGCCGTTCATCGTTCACCAGCGGCGTTCATCCGTAAAACTCAGATGGAAAATGAAGCATCGTGACATTTGACTCGTCGGCGACTATCCGTAACATCCTCGGTGACATTCTTTTGTGCAAGTCGCTTCGGGTGCGACGGCGGGGGAAAATGTGATGAATAATTCGAATCGCTGGCGTCGGCTTTTTCGCTGTTTGCTCTTCACCTGCACCATTAAACCACGGGCTTAACCTCCAGGCAGCCTAATTATTAATTCCGTCTCTTTGCGGTCAAAAAAAAAAAAAAAAAAGTACTGTACGGCGGTAGGGGGGTTAAAACACACCGCCAAAACCCGAATGCCATGAGGAAACCCCTCGTGATTCGTCCACGAAACGGCGGCGTTAGTGAACCACGGTAATCTGTGAGACGGTGACTGTCCTGAAAGATGACTAGACGGAAGGCAGGGGGGCGTGTCGTTAAAATGTCGGGGCGCGGAAATCGGTCGTCGTCGTGGAATTTGCTTTGTAACCCCCGTTCGTTCGTGGCAGGCTGGCAGGCAGCACCAAGCGCAGCTGCGCAAGGCAGGCAGCTCGGCTTCGAAGGGTGAGGTAAGCGAGTGAGCGAGCGAGGGGTTGGCGGGCGGGCACCTGAGCAGCTGTTGGAAAGACCGGAGGTTGAGCGACGCCGATCTGCCGAGATCGCAGGGCGCATCCGCCAATCCTCTTCGAGTACCTGGGCGAAGATGGTAGGCGTACCTATGCAAGTACTCCGTAGGCATAGGCATAGGCATAGGCCAAAAAAAAGCCGATTTTTGTGAGGTGCGCGGTTTGGAGTCGTCGTAACGCGCAGCGGCGCATTGTAACGGGCAGGTCTTTGCTGAATCATGTGGTCTGCCTAAATGACTCGGTCAGCGCGCAAGTTTCATCCAACACTCCTACTTTTCGCCCCGACATGAGGCGAATGAAGAAGCAATGATGATGCAATCGTGACTTACCTCTTTCGTTGGTTTGCTCCAAGTCCTCGTACCAAGAGAGTATTCACAGTATTGCAGAGGACAGGGGGGTTTGATTTGATTGATTTTTCAATTGATTGTTTGATGCTTCGCTTTTGAATAGGGCACTGTTTGACCCCCTAAGCGGCTATCTATCTGGTTTCTGTAACACATTGTGCTGGTACCACTCAACCGCGGACTGTAGCCCGGGAGCGGAAAGACAGCTGAAGAAAAGAAAAAAAAGTCCCGATTCCATTATCCATCAGGGTCCTCCAAATAGGCACCCTATGCTTTCTCATTGCGACATATAGGAAAAATAAGATGAGAGAGAAGAGTTGAGAAGACATTGCTGTCGTTTTGTAGTCCAAATAATTCGTGACCCATGCCGTTGTAGTTTGGTATCGGTGACAAATGATAAACGCCGTAATATATGCAAACGCTCGCTGATGTAAAAAGCCAAAGAAGAGATCATGTTACAAGGTAGTGTGTGGTTCTCGAGTGTAGACTTAGTACACTGAGATGGCAGACACGAGCCTTGCTGGGTTGCGGGCCGGCAGGTAGTAGCCTTCCGAGTAGAAGGTACCATCGCCCTGTTGTGATTGTTGTTGAGAGATCTCTTCCTTGGCCTCCTTCTCGTTGAAGGTGAGCACTGCGTTTGGCGGTGACGGGGGCATCGACTCGTCATCTGAGATGTCAGAGTCGTGCTCGTGCTCGAGCTCTGGTGGTGAGCTGGAGCTGGAGTGGGATGGTGTGCGGACGAGCTCGAGCTGTGCGTAGTCCTCCTCGAGGTCGTCCTCCTCCATGTCGTAGTCTTCCGAGACCTCGATAGTGGATGTTCTCGGGGAAGCGGGAGCGGCGGAGGGCATGCGGCGAAGGGAGACGGTGTCGGCCATCTCAATGTCGTCCTCCTCGTAGTCGTCGTCAGAGGAGACGGAAGAGTCGTCCGAGTCGGAGGAGTCATCCTCGTAGAGGTCCTCCGAGTCCTCGGCGATGGAGTCGGCCCATTGGATGTGACGGTCCTTGGTGGCAGCGGGAGCGGACTCGGTCTTGGTGGCACCGCGGACGGACTGGTTGAACCAGCTCTCTTGTTCCCGCTCGGCGTCGGCGAGCTCAAGCATCAGGGAGTCGAGGAGGTTTGCGTGGCCGACGAGGAGGCGGAGGTCGTGGTCGGCGCGGGCAGCCTCGGAGGAGAGCTTGGCCCGGGCCTTGTGGGCGAGGTAGTAAGTCTGGGTGATGCTCATCTTCTTCTTCTGGACGGCAAGGCGGAGAGGTTGTTGTGTGTGAGGAGCAGTGAAGGTGGAAGTTGTGGTAGTTGTCGACATTTTGTATGACTGTGCACCAATGGTGACTGATATGTCGCGATTTTGGCTGGTATGACTCAAAGCGAGATCGGGGGGTGCAAGATGCAGTGGGGCAGGGATGCCTGGGCTAGTTGGCTTGGTCTGTGATGATGCTTTGGTAATCTGGTTATTTTGGAGTATACCAGATGAGGCGGCGAGATGAGATGGCAAAGAGGCAAGGTCGATGATGGTTATATAATAGGTCAGGTTGGAAGATGTTTCTTCTTGAGAGGAGTTAGTATCGATCTTGTGTCTTGGGTCTGTTGAAGCTGAGGCTGGATGATGGGATTTCTCTAGATCTGGTTGGGAAGGGGAAACACATTTCTTTTAACTCAGGTTGCTCCGCTGTGCTGGCTGACCTGGACTTGTCGGGCTCGGAGAGAAGAAAAGTGAGGGAGGAGCGGTGACAAGGGGAGGGGTGTGAGAGCGAAGGGTGTGCAGGTGCAGGGGGTGGATGACCCATCGGGGGTGTGAGAGGGTGGGGTGGGGTGTGGGCGGGAGTTTTGCGCGATTGCGAGGTGCGAAGTGCGAACCTTCCTAAGCAGAAAAAATTATGAAAGCGATGAGTCTTTCGCTGTGCCTGCAGAAAGTGGGGGCTTCTCTAAGCTCCGTACCACGGTAGCCCGTTCCTCCATCGTGGACTTTGGGCGGCGTTTGTCATCAGCAAGGCCGAGGGTGCTTCCCGAGCCTCCGCCAGCTGGGCATTTGTCGCTGCGGGCTGCGGGTGGTGTTCGGACTTTTGGAGCTTACCTACGCTGCCGCCGGTCGGTACGGCGTAAGTGTACGGTTGCCCGTCACTAGCAAACCCAAGACGCTAATCCGGTTGTTGTCGTCGTTGTCGTCGTCGACGACCTTACCACGCTACCAAAGGGCGCCCAGAAGAACCAAAGTCCTGCCTACTGCGTAGACTCGCTGCGAGGTTCTCGAGGGTCTGACGCACTCGGCGGAAACAACACGACGACTCATCGCGGACTGAGTACGTACCCCGAAGATCCGTAACCTTCTACCCGTACCTTGCTACCTATTGCTGCTTGGGTACGGAGCATCGCTGCTTATTCGTCAGGTCGCTAGGTACCTCGCGTCCTGATGGGATAAGCGTCCACGTTTGTCAGCCTGTGCTCGCTTTTCTCTGTAATCAATCAATCAATCCAGGTCTTCCATCAGAATCGGCCACTAGACTTCTCCAGCAAAGCACGCACTCCCGCTAGTCTCGTCTCATCTCATCCCCTCTCCTCGTACAAAAGTGACTTTGTATTCATCATCACCAAAACGGAGACAGGAATTAGGCATAACTCCCATAACTCCGCACCGACCAGCAGTTGGATTAATCACCAACCTTACTCTACCTACCACCCACCGCTGCCCCGGCGTCTACGCCCTTTCACCCTGTCCGTCAGGCGCGTCATCTCTTCCTCGCTAGCTAGCTTCGTCTCGTCTGCCTCAATTTCCAATCTGACACGCTGTATCATCGTGAACGCACGCGCAGGTTATGCTTATGGTTCGCTTGCTGGTCTTGGCTCTCGGCCGCAGTCGCACGCGCGCCTTACCAATTACCATAACCCCGGCTGCCTGCCTTACAACCATAATTACACACTCTCTCAGAAAAAAAAAGGGATGATGGCTCATTTCCTATATTCTGTAACTCGCACCATGCGCGCAATCTGCGACAAGCTGAGGCCAGCAAGCGAGAATAGAAAGAAAAAAAGGGAACGGGCCTCATAATGTCAATAGCGGGATTCCAGCTCACTCACGACGGGGGTATGTTTTGCTTAACCCCGTCCCAAGGTGCCATCCCAAGAATTTCCAATTCCCCTTGATTGTCACAATTGCCAAATGTAATACCCCAGGGCCAAGGCTGAAGGGGGACCTGATCTGATGTTGCTCCCGTTCACCCCCTTTGGGATAATGACAGTTCACAGTACTCCGTACCCCCGGCATTCTGTACTCTCCGTAACGGATCACCTGGGGTGAGAGAATGGACAAAAATGGGAAGCCTAAAAGTACTGCGCCGAGAGCCGTTGCTACCTCAACACCTCACCCTCACCCCGGTCGATCGCCAGGCCTTACAGTTTACGGCGCCGAGACAAGGGATTACAGTACGGCCGCGAATTGTGCGAATGCGCGCGGGGGTTAAGCACAGCGAAGCACAGCACAGCTTGGTACGAATCCCCTGGTCGCTGCTGCTGCTGCTGCACCGCCTCCTCCGCCGTCGGCTCCGTCCACGTCCTCCTGCGAGTGCGAGCAGTGCGAGCTTGCGAACCGGGGGCCAGACGACGGGGGATAAACATCTGCGGAGAGATTAGATGCTGGCCAGCTGACTGCCTTCGCGGACACGCACCAATCACAGGCCCTTGCGAGCTGAGGCGCTACGCAGAGAGAGTACGAAAGTACGAATCCCATCTGTACGGATACACGGAGTAGATCCGTACGGATTTACGAATGGCCCCGAGCCACACACTCGTTTTGTAGGGCTGAGCCTTGACGCGAAAGAGAGGGAAAGAGAGCAACGTAGCAGAGTCTCATTGCGCCCTATTCCGTACCTACCTGTTTTACACGTATTACATTACGGTGCTCTTACTTTTGCTCTTACTTGGCCGGGTTAGGCATAACGCCCTTCGCTCTCGGCATAACTTTTGCTTAAACATTTCTGTCCGTACCTTACACAAAGTACCTTGCGGTCGGTGCCTGGAGTCCACGTCTTGGGGAGACGCGGGCAGCCCAGCCACAGGACCCGGAAAGGCCCATGATGAGTCGGAGCCTGAAAGCAAGGTACGGTGCTCTAACCTCACAGCCCGGACCATCGCGAAGAACTATTGCCCCGGGCGACGGGGTTCATTCGAACGGGGGCCACCGCAGCAGACTTTGGACGAAAAGCCTGATCGGCCGGGCTTGAAACTTTTTTGTCTAGATACCCAAATTGCCCAATAGAGTCCAAAACGCTTGATCAAATTTGCTCATCGGGCTCGAATTGATCTGTTTCGATCTACAGAATGAAAATATCAATCAAGTATCAGGAACAAGTATTTGCGCATCGCCGACTTTGTTCCTGTTTCCACGGGGACCATGGTCCAGCAAAAATGAGGGAGGGAAAAAGCAAGGACGGTGACGATGATGACCCGGGAATCACGAAGCCCGCACCGCCCGGGGGAGATCTCTGGAAGGTGTCAAGTGATGAAACCATAGGGAGAAACCCACTCCGCCGAAGCTTCCCTCCGACTTTGCCCATACAGAAAAGACAAAGGGCCGCCTTCTGGGCATTAGACGCGCCCGAGAAAGATTGGGGGGAAAGCGTCGGAGACGTTTAGGCACCGTGAATCGGGGCACGGAGCGAATGTCAAACTGAAGGGGGCAGACAACTCTAAAAGATTACGCTCACACTTTGACAGCGAACAGCCACAGGTTGACGGTGCAAATCAGGTATTATGGCTCATCTTTGGTCATCGACTCATCAGTCATCCGGGCAGATCTGAATGTCCTGGGGGCACGACGCGAATGGCAGGGTTTAGCGGTCTTCAAGCCACAAAACGCAATGCTTACACACCCCTCCTCTCCCTCTCTCTCTCGTTCCCGGGTACCCATAGCGGTCGGTCGGTCGAAATCGCCGTGCTCCGCTCCGCTTTGAGTCGAGATGAGCCATCGACTCTAGGTACTCTACTCCGTCCTGCCAGTGGCTCGGTCCCAAGTCTGCCATTCAGTCTGCCTACATACGACTACCTGTCTACAACCAGTCTGCGCCTATACGCCAATACGTGGACGCGGGGGAGACGAGGATGTGGTCTGTCCAGGTCAGATCAGAACCCACGGCATCATCGAGAGCGTGGCTTGCTGCATGCATGCCCCGTAACCTTTTTCCACCACCACCACAGTACTTCTTCTCTTTCGCTTTCGCCGTTCAAGTTCTAACCCGTGAGATTGGTCCATCCAATCGCGAGGCCGTTTGACAGAGACACAACCCCTCGATTGGGCCTGCCCTACGTAGCTACCCTCAGTCTCGCGTGAGATGGGACCATCGGTTCTAGGGTTACACACGCGTACATGAAGCCCGGGCCAAACTTCGCAAGGAGCTCTCACAAGTTACCCAGCAAGCGGAGGGGGGTGGGATCAAGACAGCTCGCCCGAAAACTTCCCTTTTGCGTGCGCGCGTGATCATCGACTTCTCGACATTCTTCCGGCTTCCAATCCCAGTGTTGCGGGATTTGGGGGCCGGCTGTGCCTGGCGGAAAGCTTCCAAGCTTACTCCGTGGTACGGAGTGCCTAACCTACAGGCTACCGTACCAAACCCCACGATCTGCACAAAATCCCGGATTGGGACGAGTACGGCGGAATACGGGCGTCTACGGCTACACGGCCTTGTGTAACGAAATCCTTCGTAAACTCGCGTGGGCCGTACCGTAACCCGTAGCGATTCCTAATGCTTTTCGTAGACGGGACGAAAAGCACTGACGGTTCTATTCCGGTGTCTACCGGTATTCAATCTCTCCTACCTTCAATCCTCCCGACTCCCTCCGTTGGGAACGGGGGAAACAATAAAGACGTGGGGGGGGTTCCCAGAAAAAACGGTCCCGTGTCGTCCGAAGATAAGTGAGCGGAAGAGAGCTTTGACGATGAATCCGGATTTAATGCGGAGGATAACGGGAGAAAGACACAGTGAGAGGGGGAGGGGAGTTCGGCATCTTTGAAAAGCGGCCGTCTGATGAAGCGTGACTGTTTTCTGTTCTGGACTTCTCCAAGACCCTTGAGTTCCATACTTTCGAGCCCTTCCGAACTACCCGCACGGTTCACTTGTTGCCGTGGCCCCGACGGCCGGACGGACGGCCACCTAGATCGGCGAGTAGAGGAGCACGTTGGACCCCGCCAAACCAAAACTCTCTCACACGTGAGAGAGAGAGAGAGAGATGTGCAACCGGGGAGTCTACAGATAGGTAGAACAGGTAAAAGAGTCATCAGTAATCAGTGAAACCCGTGAACGGGATCCAACCTACGCCCACACCCACTCCTCACTCCCACGCTCTCGCGTCATTGAGATTGGACTGAAAATGCCGAATAGAGCTAAAAGCTTCTTTCCTTCTGTAGTCCCATGATTCCCAATCCCAACTCCGCGGTAATGGCCAAGTGGTCTATGCTCTCTCTCCTGCTTCATAATCACCTACACACTCCCATCCTCTTATTCCCACGCCGCGGGATGACGAGATCAGGGGTCTTTTGTGCGTATACTCCATACAAATCATCAGACCGCCCCCAATACTCACAAGTCCGCTCCGTCCATATGTCAGCGTCGTGGAATCGCCGAAGAAGCGAGAACTGAGAACTGCAGCCCTGCAAGCGGGGAGGACTTGGTTCGGATAGGCCTCGGATGAGATAATCCACAATGTGACAAATGGATGGAAGTCTTTTGAACAGGCTGATGGAGATTCGGGGGAATCTGAGGCCAGCTTACTTTGCCTACAGCAGCAGCAGCAGCAATTCATCGCATTTGGATATCGCCAATTTGCACTGCATCTCCATTGGTAAGCCTCTTGCAGAATACAACACAGCACAGCACAGCGCAGCGCATCATCGTCACCGCCGTACGCAATGGAACGTAGCAGCCAACTCGCCGATTCCCTAGCTGCAGGGTTGGATTATCTACCAGATAGGGCTGGGTGCGATGCGGAAGAGAATCCGTACCTATGTACCACACATCGTACTCCATACCCGTAAGAGAGCGAGGGTATGCAAAAAGCTCGGACTCGCTCGCGGAATGCGGCCGGGGTGTCTGCGTCGGTTTTTGCTGTGCAGCACTCAATACCGATTCCGCACTCGCTGACATGCATCCTCCGTCTACATGTGTCCAATAACTGGCGCCGCGAGCCGTCAAGTCACCAATCAGGGAACACGGCGGATAGATACTTTCATAATCCCCAAGTTGCACACGGAGATGTCCTATGAGACGTGAGGCGGTGCTTGCTTACTTTACCCAAGGTACTCTACCGTATTGCATCTCACAAGGCTGTTATGCTCACCGCTCGTGGCTTGTGCCACCGCAGCCATATCGTCCCATTGGTCAAAGGGACGCACATACCGGATGTCTCTTTGGCATGTATGTATGCACTACTGAGGCATGTTCTACGCTCCCGCTTCTGCGTGTGTGCCACGCGACTCGGACGAGGCTTTGTGGCTTTGCAGTCTTTTGCCTATACGGCTGCTGGACGTGCTTCGAACTGCAGCGGCGCTAACAAGCCTCCCAAGCCTCCGCGGCCTGCCCCGGTGCAGATTTGAATACCCGTGGACGTAGACAAAATCGGTTCGGCGATGTGCGGCCGGAATGTCGCCGTGATGGGGGTTTCCAGTTGGGACAAGGCCCCGGGTACCGTACGGGGGTGTGGCTTGCGAGAGTTTTCTTGTCTTTCTTCTCGGTTTGCACCGAAGACGCCCTGCAGTTTACAGACTTCCTATGCGGCATTGCTGCACGATGTCGTCGTTCATGGCTGGGGTTCAACTCGATCCGGCATTTCGGGGTTATCTTCTCAGGGTACGGACTTGCATTGGATTATTCGTACGTCTGTCGGGGTTAATCGACAATGGAAGTTCGATACTGGTGCTGACTCACTGGTTAATATCTATATGCACGACAATCCAGAAATAGGGTGCTCTTTCGAATGCCCCTTGCGGAGGAACTGCACCTCCACGGAAATAAGAACGAGATATGTCCAGAAGAAGGGGGTTAGAGCCTCTCAAACTCTTCAAACGCAACACCCCTGTCACATCGCGGCCTTCTCCCGGCCTTCTAGCGTCCTTCCATTTGGCGGAGTCCCACTGCATATGGACCGTGCGCGGAATCATATAACCTTCTAGCGTGCTTCTAGCGTGGAAGACAGGGGTTCTGCGGTCCTGCGCTCCTGATTTTCACATTTGCGGAGCCTCGCTTGCCGTCTCGGTGTTCCATTGCTCCTGTCATTCAGCCTGATGAACCACGGTGCCATCGTGTGAGAGGTTGTGGGCTGCCAGGGCTGTTGTGCGACAGGGCTCATGGCTGTCAATTGTCGGAGCCTTCAGGCACACACATCTCCACGGCGCCCAACCAGAGCCACGCGACGAAGTTTTTCATTCTTTCGTTCGTTGGGATCTGGGTTACGCGGGATCGAACTAGTGGATCAATCACGGAAAACCTCACACCAAGTGGACTTCAGGTATCCAAGAGGCTAGGATGGAGAAAATTTTCTTGCCCTCTTTCCCTCTTCACAGGCATTTTCCACGTATTCTTGACGTCAACTAGACCCGGACCGCTTTCCATCGGGCAGGCGTTAGTAGCTTACATTGGTGACTGATTGTGGATCTGTTGGTCACGGTGGATATTGACTAGGGGGAAATTTTCAACCCTTTTTTTCTGCCCTTTTTTTCTGTTCCCATCTCGAACATGCTGCAAGTGATTCTTCTCGTTGCCAGTTGGTTCGCGATTTTCGCCCAATCGTGTGGGGCTCGCGGTCTAGATTCTCTGCTTGCTGGAAAATCGCTTCAGCCACACGCCCACGTGGAGATTCACGAGAATTGCTAAGCATGTGGATCTGAGCAAAGGGGGGTGTGGACGTAAACTTCCATCCATGGGACGGGAATGGATGACTGATGAGAGAAAAGAGCGGACGCCGGACGGGATTCAATGCAGGGCCCGTGGTCTTTTCTCGGCAATGAGGTTTTGCTGCGAGCTTGTGCACATTCAGGACGGTGGGCCGGAGATATGCTCCCTCTCACCAAGCCCGGCGCCGATGAAACTGCCGTGACTCCAGGTCCCAGTCCAAGTCCATGCGGCTCTGATTTTAGTTCAGAGACGGATGATGTGACGAGCGTTTGTTGTTCCCAAACTGCCGTGGTTCATGAAGCGTTCCCGAACCCACCCCAGCCATTTTGACTCGTCTGAACTGCGTTTCAACGCCGGGGAGCGATCCCGCTGTCGGACGTCGCTGCGGAATGGTTGCTGTTCTTCATCGGTTTCGAGATCGCCGGGAACCGCCACGGGACGGACGGGGGGTCCACATTTGATGCAAGGGATGGAAGCTGTATGACCTCAAAGTTGTCTGCCATCTAAAGAAAATATTCTTGACCAAGCCCACCGGTCTCAGATTCACGTCCTGAGGTGGTGTACAGAAGAGATGTCTATCCCGAGACGTCTCTCGCGGCCGGCCGGATAGACTTCGACCTTTGGCTTGGCTGAGCTTTCAGCTGAGCCTCAGCTGCCAGGGCCTATGGTTTGAGTTTGAGTATGGGGAATGTGGGTTGGGTGCTGATTCGGGGCTGCTCCGCGAACCTGGACCAGGACCATGTCGGGTATCATGTTTTCTTTTTCTAGATATATGAGACGTCTTGCTTCAGAGCGCCCCATGTCTTTGCACCTAATCTGGCTCCAGGGCCGCGGTTAAATGTCCAAGAGAAGAAAAAAATGACAAAGGAGTAATGCAGAGGTCCATCGAAAGCGTGGAAATAACATTCAAAGAAGAGAAGAAAGAAAGAAAGTAAACAAACTGCAGCCTCGCAAACATTCCTCTTCATCACGAAGCTGGTCTCTTGATAGGTCAAGCACCCGAACAGCAGCCCGGCTCCCCGGTCTCTCCCTCTCTCTCTCCCTGCGGTGTACCCGTTGCTTATTTTGGTACACGAGGCTAGCCGACTTTTGTCTCGTGTTCTGGTTCAGTGGTTCCTGGTTGTCGGGAACACTACTGCTTTTATGCTTTTGTGTGTAACGTCTCATCCCCAAGCCCGTGCCTGTGCATCTCGGCCGATGGCCATTGTGAAGGTAGGTCCGGGATTTCTATTGCAGAGCCGGCGAAGCGTCGGTTATCGCTAGGAGATGATAGGTGTGGAAGTGAGATATGATCCTCGGTTTACCGGCAGTGGTGTATGCCTCCTTGAATCGGCGGTCAAGTAGCCAGCAAAATCGTCATTTGCCTCTTATAACGATGTCAGCTAGACTGTACCATATATGGCCATTATCAAAGCAGCTGCTGTGTTTGTGATATGGAGACCTCATTGATCATGCATTTTAAGTGATTGCTGATGCTTTGTGGCAAGCAATAGAATCCGTGAGCACAAAGGCATCACCGAACCTGGGATAGCTTTAGATCCAAAAGGCTTGGTAATGTGCAATGGTAACAGGTCATTTCGTCAAAGGCCATTTTCATGAGATATGGGAATCGGAAAATTGGTGTGTTTCCGAGATACCAAACGGCTGCTTGCCCCCTCAAAATGACGATGATAAAAGCAAGAACGATCGGGCCTCTGTTCCGCGTTCATTCTCATGCTTCACGCCAGATCAGCTGAGATAGAGACCATTATCCAATGATGCTCAAGAGCCTTGTTATCTTGCCTTTAGTGACAAAGCATAGTTGGTCTTGAGGACCCTCCTACAAAAGAGACCGTCCAGAATGTAAGATCATCATGCTCGCATCATCTATCACGGCATCGTCATTTCTGTGCCCGTTCGTATTCGTGAGTATAGAGTGAGGAACCCCTGGCCGATCCCCTGCTCCATCAGGAAACTAGAAACTGTACGCCTCGGCAGGTACGAACCAAATCCTACCGTACCCATTTAGTCTTTCTTCTAGCTCGTACATCGTGATGCTCGTGGCAGACATATCCTGCACCAAGGGGGACTGAAGGTAGTCTTGGCCGAGAGGGACAGCTGGCTAGGTTACGGCGATGTTGAAAGGTGGTATTGGTTGGAAACTGGCCGCCGCCGTTGTGACGTTGTTGGTTTCGAGTGGGACTCCGAAGACTTAGAGTGTAGAGCTGTATCTTCACCAAATTCTCTGGCTCAGAGCGCCCCACAACCGACAACTTAGTCCAGATAATTCCTGACCATAGAAATCTCGTTTCAAATCAATATGTTAAAGACGATAATAATTTACAGCCCAGCTGTATGCGTAAGAAAAGCCTATGAAGACGGAGCGCAGTCCCTCCCCCTTTATTCATTTACAACAGCCAATATTCTAGAGCCGTGCTCCCAGGGCCGAATAGTACAGAGAATTAGAGCCATCTACATAAGTGGGCACATAAGACCAGCAGCAGCAGTCAGAGACCTGATCTTACGGTTTCAAATCTGTACTGACAGCTTCCGAGAATAATGGAGCTTACCAGTCTAACTGGATCATTTGTATGGGAACAAAATACGTCAGCAGCTATACAACAGCAATATAGCAGCAAGTGAGCGGGGGAGATGGCCTGGTTGTGTCGATGTTAGGGATCTATATGAACACCTTACCTATCAGGGCATCTCTTTCTTTCCTTTTGAGTTTGACCAGACACACCTCAACATAACCTTGAGGTATTAATTTCAAGAAATACGTATATGTCAGCGTACACTATTGAAGGGAAATCACTGAGAGAATTTAATAGAGGGTGAGCTTTTTCCGCACATAGTGCATAAAATATATCCAAACTAAGCAATCTTCAGATGATTTGCTCAATATGAATCTACTTTGATAAAGCTTCCATGCGCTCCATTGTCCTCTTTCTCACATGTGAGTTGAGTACTTTCGTGTCTAAGTCCCAAAGCCTTAAACTTGATTTTCAAGACAAGTCCGGTGGACTTTCGTATAAACGGTGACGAACGAATCATTCCCATCGACTTGGTCTAAATGTGAGTCAAACATCGCCAGAGAGAACGTCTCACATGTTTGAAGACTACGGATCGACACGCATTTTCTCACGTTAAGCGAGGGCTTGCGGCGTCTTCAACCTTATTGATTTACATACCCCGAGCCCCTCTGGATGGATTGGCTCTGCGTAACCTCAATAAGTTCCCAAAGCAAATCTAGATCAGAGGGGTGAACATACCCGCACATGTAACAAAGCAGTCTGTGTTCATTCCCGCTCACGCTCCTTTACTTGGTTCTCACGAATACGACGGGAGCATAAACGGTAATATAGGATAAGTCACTTACATCCATCCTTTCCTTCCCTTATGCTCCATTACTTTACACTCACGAATATAAGAGAGAGCATGAACGACAACATAGGACATATTAACCACGTCCATCCTGCCCCCCTACGCTCTCTCATATAGCTCACACGAATACGAACGAACGGGAGCGTGAATAGAGATGCGGAATAGACATTATTCTCTATGCAGGGGTTCTCAACATCAACTAAGCTTTATCACTAAAGGCAGGATAACAAGACCATCGAGCATTGTTGGACAATGGTTCCCGAACCAATTGGTTTGGGGTTCGTGGGGAGTGAGCGAGAGCGGAACGTGACGAGGCTCAGTTGCTCTCCTTTAATACTGCTTGCTGGTCGTTTTGAATCGGTGAGCCTTGGAGCTGGTGGGTGGCACCGTTTATCTCAAGCTTTCTGAAATGAACGAGTTCAAGCTGTGGTGACTACGAAACATCATTCCTCAGAGGCCATCGTGGTCAGAAGTTCTTGAAGACTCTGTTGTCTATTGGGTATTGTTTTGTCTATCCCACACAAATCAAACGTACGCCAGTATGCAAGTTCCCATTTCAAACAGCAAGTGACTTTTCCTTCTCCCCTCCCACACAATCTCACGCATTGAGCTTCTGCTTCGTCCTCTTCCTCTTGCCACCAACCTCCCTCCCCTCCTCGAGCTCCAATAATGCCTCCCTCTTCTTCTCGCTCACAATCTTGAGCGCGTCCCTGAGGACCCTCGTCTCCAAATTCACCCCTTCCTCCTTCCACGCCTCCATCTCCCTACCCACACGCGCCTCAATCGCCAACACGAGCTCAACGTCCCTCTGCCCGACAAACGTCACCGCCTCGCCCTTCCGCCCCGCACGCGCCGTGCGACCGACCCTGTGGATATAATCGTCCGGGTTCCGCGGGATGTCGTAGTTGACGACGAGCCCGACCTCGGGGATATCCAGACCTCTCGACGCGACGTCCGTCGCGACGAGGATGCGCGCCGCCGCGGCGCGGAAGCGGCCCAGGTTGTCGACGCGCTGCCGCTGCGGGAGGGCCGAGTGCAGCGAGGTGACGCGGTGGTCGAGCATGCGCAGCAGGTGGTGCAGGTAATCCGCCGTCTTTGTGCGGTTGCAGAAGATGATGACGGACTTCTCCTCGTTGCCGTCCGTCAGGAGGAAGGTGTGCAGGTAGTGCTCGCGGTGGGTGACGGGCACCTGGAGGTGCATCTGCGAGAGCGTGGCGGGGATGGCGAGGGCCTGGGTGTCGACCTCGCAGACGAAGACGGGTTGTTTTCCGGGCTTCAGGGGCATGTCTTTGAGGGCGCGGACTTCCGGGGTGATTGTGGCGGTGAAGAGTAAGGTTTGGCGCTTCGAGGAGGGCGGGAGGACGGAGAGGCACTCTTCTACGTCGGGGATCATGCTGCCTGGGCCGGTGCCGTCAAGGAGGCGGTCGGCCTCGTCGAGGACGACGTACTTGACGCGGCGGAGGCCGCAGATGGTGTCTTCGCCCGAGGTGCGGATGTGGTCGGCCAGACGGCCCGGCGTGGCGATGACGACGTGGGGACGTTGCGCGAGGGCGATGGCCTGGGAGCGCATGTCGGAGCCACCGGTGACGAGGACGATTTTGAGGCTCTGCGGGGAGGAGATGGCCTTGAACTGCTCGAAGATCTGCAGGGCGAGCTCGCGGGTGGGGGTCAGGACGACGCCGAAGATGGCGGTGGGATCCTCGGCCCATTTCTGAAGGATGGGCACGGCGAAGGCGACCGTTTTACCGGAACCCGTCCTGCTTCCGCCGATGCAGTCCCGGCCCTTGAGGATCTCTGGTATGCAGCCCTTTTGAATGCCCGTCGGTCTCTTGATTGCCATGTTGGCCAGCGACTGTACGAGCCATGGCCGTACGTTTATGGCGGAGAAGGTGGTGTTGGGGTCTGTTGGCGCAGTGATTGTGTTTTGCGACGGCGCTGCTGGGCGTGAGGTCTGGGGAGCTTGGTCGACAGCGGCGGCGGCGGCGCGCTTGAATCTTGAGGGGGCTTGAATGGTAGACACGACAGCCTTGATCTCTTCCTCCTCATCGTCATCATCGTTCTCGATATCTTCGAGATCGGGCTCGGCAGTGGGGTCGGTCCTCCGTCTCTTGCGCGAGGCGGGACTGTCGAGGTAGTCGGATTCGGACTCGGAGCCGGAAGAGTTGGCGGGAGAGGATACCGGAACCTCATCTTCGGCCGCACGGCCCGGTCGTCTGGGGGTTGCAGAGGACGGCATTGAGGGCGATCAGTCTCTGTTCTGTTTTATGCCGGTTGTGACGCGATTTGATCGTGGACCTGAGACTTGTAGCATAAAGTTTGTGATGGTGATGGGCTCGACTGCAGCAGCTGCACCAACGTCTGAGAATTTTCGGGCAAGGGTCCAAAAAGTTTTTGGTTGCAAAGTGCCAAAGCTTCGGCGCGGCGGGCTGGTGGGGTGAATGGTCCAGGGGGCTCTGGCGTGGGGCAGACCAATTGGAATGGAAGGCGGTCAGTACCAGGGCTCCGCATTGAGACGGTAGACGCGCGCCTAGAGAAACGGAGCTACGCAGTTACAGTGCCTTAGTGAGTGACCTTAGTGAGTGACCGGGGACTCAA